GAATAACAGTAAGTCGTAAGTGCTTTAGCGTGCATCCTTTCAGGTTTATTCGTGTAGCTTTGATACACATTTATTTAGGAACATCCAGCGAGACAAATGCCAGAGGCGTGCTTTCTGTGCCTGGACTCCACGGAGTTTATGCGCAACGGCGATCAATTTCCCAGTCGGTTCCTCGGTGTGCAGGAGGCCGCTAGCCTGCTGTCCAACGCAAAGATTCAGATGAATGCGGAAAACACTGTGGGATTCCTGACACTTGGGGGTAATGCGTGCACCGTCTTTGAGACGCTCACGCTGGACGTGGAGCGCGTCATGTGCAGTCTTGCAAATATTTCCATCCGAGGCAAACGTTGCCACTTTTCACAGGGGCTCCAAATAGCTTCTTTGGCGTTGAGTCACCGAACAAACCCCCGGGCGGAAAAACGCATCGTCGCCTTCATCGGCACCCCACTCAGTGAAACGGACGAGGAGCTGGAAAAGTTGGCGCGAAAGCTCCGAAAAGATGATGTGGCAGTTGACATAGTGGGGATTTGTGTGGAGGCAAATGTTCCTCGGCTCTCGGCATTTGTTGAGAAGTTGAATAAAAATGGCAACTCCCGCTTTCTTAACATTCCAGCTGGTGCCAACCTCACAGACTCACTGATGTCAAGCTCCATTTTGCTTGGCGCTGACAGCGGTGGCGGCGCAAGCGAGGCCCAGGATGCGTACCAGGGTTTTGGCGTAGACCCTTCCAACGACCCCGATCTCGCCATGGCCATTCGCATGTCGTTGGAGGAGGAGCAACAACGGCAGGCTGCTGCGGCCACAATAGCGGCGTCCCAAAGCACGGCCCCCGTCAGTGCAGCGACACGAACGGACGTCCCGCCGCCTTCTGCCGAGCCAGAAAATTTGGAGAACATGTCTGAAGAAGAAATGCTTGCACGTGCGTTGAAAATGTCGTTGGAGGAGGCACAAAAGGCGGCAAATACGGCGGTCAAATCCGAAGAAGAGTCTTCTCTTCACGAGGCTGAAAAGGAGCCGGAGAGGCAGAAGCCGACCGAGAAATCTTTCCAATCAGCAGAAGAGGATGAGCTACATGAGAACGAAGAAAAGTCATCAGGTGAGAAGCAACCGAGGAACAAAAAGTAATTGTTAACATTATACATATATAGTTTCTTTTTTGAAATGCTGCACGTTGAAAGGGGGGTATGCAGAGAAGAATGACGGAAGAAAAAAAAAAAAAAAGCGATGGCCATTCCAAAAAAGAGAGGAAAAGAAAAAAAAAAAAGAGAAGAAAACGTGACGGGGAAATGCGTGATAAAATGTTTTGCCTTCCCATAATGATGTAACCTATGTAGTGGGGGGAGGACGAGTTTCATGAATTTCTCATTGCAAAACAGCAGCAGGAGGAGGAGGAGGAGGAGGAGGAGGGCTAAAAGTTTCCTCGTGCCGTACTTACTGTTTTTTCGATACACATATATATATATTATTGCTTTTATGCATGTGGGTGTTTTTTTTTCCCTTGCACATCCACTTTGATTTTTTTTTTTTTTGTGCTTCCAATTGTGTGCCCCCCTCAACACGGTGGGGTGGACGATTTGTAGAAAACAACAACAAAACAAAAAAAGAGGAGAACAAATTGGGTTATTAGTTTTTACAAAGATGGTGCTAGCGACTATTCGCGTGCTGGTCTGTGGAGTAGAATTTCATCGAGTGGAGTCAGCGCTTGGAAGTTCCGTAGAGAATACCAACTTTGCATGGAATCGGCGTTACGAAATATCGTGTACTTCTTCGACTGGTGTGTCTGAAGCTGACGGTCGGCTGCTGTCCATGTGCCACCTGGTTGTTCTTACACGAGGAGCCAGCCCACCCCTGGAGGTTAAAAGTTATTGTGGCAAACCCACCGTATCACTGGAGGGCGCTCCAGAGGGTGTTGTGAGCATGCTGAGGAATTGTGACTTCTACTACGGTGTGCACGCTTTGGAAAAGCTGCGCTCACTAGTTGTGGATATAGGCCTTTCCCCACCACATGTTATATGGGACGGCGTGCTGCGTACGTTTACAAGAAATGGCGAATTATCCATTCGCCGCGCGTTTTGGCTTCTCGATAAAGATGGTGATGGAGTGTTGAATGAGGAGGAACTTCTTGCATGGCAGCGTTCTGTGACATCGGCCTGCTTTTCAAAAAGTGATCTTGCTGAATTGTGTACCCATTGCTCCTTGAACAATTTCCCTCCGTCGATCAATGGTGAGACCTTTATGAAGATGCAGGAGAATTTCTTGATGAATGGTGACGCCAAGAAAGTGTGGGCAACACTTCATTTAACCGGGGTTTGTCCGGATGGACTGCCATATTCATGGAGGGATATCCACGCGGTTCGTGTGAGCAAAGAGAGCAACACATATCTTTCTCATACCGCCATTCAGTTCTTTCGGAATTTGTACAAGCTTCGCCGCTTTTCTGACCTTAACAATATGTGGGATGTTACCCCTGGATGCCCGTGGAAGCACGTGCATGGTTTCCTTACGACGGAAATCCCATTGGATAGGTTTATCGAATACTGGAAGTATATGGCGTTGACAAATCGGAGTGTGGTTGTGCAGTATGCTAGATATTGGGGTTATAAGGGGGATACGATTCTTTTATTCTTGTTGCGTCATGCACGTCCTTACCGTGAAGTGGGTGAGGCGGTGCCGAATACAATTCAGGTTCTGGTGGTTGGTTCCGCCGGATGTGGACGGAGAAGTCTTATGTTTACACTGACGGCGTTAGATGAGGAGGTATACAAGGAAGATACGACTGCATCGCAAGAAATGTACGTCCGAACCACGACATTTCCTGTTAGGCATGGTGAGGGGGAAGCACTACAGACTGTTGTGTACGTCACAGTGCCCATTGAAAACCTTACAAAAGTATTAGAGGACGACACGCTAGAGAAGCAGCTGGACGTGGTAATTCTCTGTTACGATGGAAGTCATATCGAGGAAACCACACTGCCTATTATGCGTGCATATCTTGAGGCCAAGGCGTTACCGTTGCGTTGTCGTAATTTGCCTTTTGTGGTTGTCATGACGAAGGCGGAGGCCTCGGCGTCAACGGAGGCTCCCACAAATGAGAGTCAGGCGATGGAGCGCTTTTGCCGGGAACATCAATTATTATGGCCGCCTGTTGTGACAAGCGTTGAGACTCCTGAGGAATCTGATATCGCTGCCCTTAATGAATACATGTATGCAGTAGCCAAGGAACCCGAAATCGCCGTGGGAAATGCGCCCTTAACTCTCCTGCGGATATTGAGACGCGTTGCAATTGTGACTTTTTTTGCTCTTGCCGTAGGAAGCGTCACGCGCCATTTTTTTCGACGGATGCGTGGGAGGCGTCAATAGAAGACGAGAAAAAAAAAAAAAAAAAGAAACGCGGAAAGAAAAGTGAGGGGACGCGTAGACTTTAAATATTCGGGTAGAGGGGCGGCAGGGTGGTCTGTGTTTCTGTTTGAGTGTGGTTGTATGCATGACAGGGGTGGTGGTGATGAAGAACGGCAAAGAATAAGACTAGAGAGGGGATAAGGTTGAAATCACGTCAATTATATTAACATGAAAAAAGGGGTATATGTGCACTATTACTGTTGGTGTCATGGCTATTGTTCTGCTTGCTACTACTTGCAGCCATCACCGTATTGTTTTGGTTGCTCTCTTTGGCCATGTCTGCTCATTTCTCCATGCATATATGATATATTTTTCCCCTCGTGGTGGTGTAGCTATTTTTTTTGTGGGCTGTAGTTGTCTTGTTCTGAAGGATACATAATAAATAAATATATATTAATTAATTAATTAATATTAATATTATTATTATTATTATTATTATTATTATTATTATTTGAAGTTTTGATGGCTTCTGGTGTTCCAGCGACATTTGCCGCCGGTTGTTTTTGGGGGACGGAGCGTTTTTTTGTCAAGAAATTTGGGGACGCGTTGTTGTCGCATGAAGTGGGGTACATGGGGGGCGCGGAATCTGACGAAGTTGTAACGTATCCGGCGGTCAAGAAGGGCACAACGGGGCATGCGGAGGTGCTGCACGTCAAGTACAATCCTGAAAAGGTCAATTACCAACAGCTTCTTGATTTCTTCTTTCGCATTCACGATCCGACGACGGTGAATCGGCAAGGAGTGGACGTGGGCACGCAATATCGCAGCGCTATTTTTTACCACGATGACCAGCAACTGAAAGAGGCAAAGGACTACATTTCAAGACTCAATGGTGAAGACCCGGCGCTTCGGGAGGGGTTTGTGAAGGCTTTTGGCGACGCTCAAGTTGTCACGAGCTTGGAGAAGGCCTCACGCCTTCACGTCGCAGAGGACTATCACCAAATGTATCTGGAAAAGAACCCCGACAGGGTTTGTTCGCACCGAATTCATTGGTGATCCCCATTACGGGATGATCCATAAGCGCTTAGGGGGACTCTGTGACGAGAATAGTCTTGGTAAGTGGCAATGTCTTTTTTTTTTTGTTTTCAACGCAACCACGCATTTGGGGGGCGTCGCGAGTGCAATTTATTGTTTTTTTTTTCCCCCAGCCGTCCCATATTCCTCTTTACGGTAGTGGAGTGGAGCCCGGCGCCTTTGGGACTGCGTTAAGGGTGATCATTTCTTCGGTTTACAGTGGGCTTTTGGTTGCCGTCGAATATGTTTTAGGAATTTATTTATGGGCGTATGGGTGCTTTTTATGTGCCATCCGGGTTGGGATGTTAGGTACGATGATCCGGGCCTTGATCTTCTTTTCTACTTTTTATTGATTCTGCATGATGAAGAGAAACTCGTCTTACCAATAAGCATGTGCCATTGTTTGTTTTTATCTTTTATTTTTATTTTTGTTTATTTATTTATTTATTTTTTTTTTTTTGTGTTTGTGTGCTGAGGATAAAAAAATAAATATGAGGGATTTTGTGTGTCTGTTGCTTGTACTTTTTTTTCTTGTTGATAATTGGCATTCGTTTGTATGAAAAATAGATGAAGTTGGATGTGCATACATACATATGCATGAAGTTTGCTGCTTGGACGGATTTTTTGTGCTTGTCACGGGAATTCACGAACGCGAAATGTTGTGGGGGGTGTTGTTTCCGCCCATGTGCTGCTTCGGCTACGCCTTGGCCCATCACATCGCTGCCAATTTTCAACAATAGCGGGAAGAAGAGAACGAAGTGAACAGTTTTTTTTTTGTTTGTTTGTTTGTTTGTGCGTGTGTGTGGGAGGGGGCTAAGAAGGACAGGGAGGGAGAGGGTCTTGTTTTGATTTCGGTAACGACTTCAGTGAGAAACGAACTTTTTTAAAATATCTGCGGTTATATATATATATAATTTTTTTTTTTTCTTTGTTCGCGTTTTCTTTTTTTCCGTACAGGAGGCGGCGTTCTGGAAAGGAGATGCAGACGCCATCACGTACTGCGGCATTCTATGGGTTGAGAATATGTGCCGCCCCCTTTTTCCTCGTGTGTGTGTGTGTGGGACTCACACTTGTGATCTTTATTCCTTTTTTTTTTCCTTTCTTTTCCTTTTTCTCTCACGGATGTTATTTTTACCAGTAGTGCCTTTGCAGCTTGGAATATGTTGCAGCAGGCTGTTTCGTATGTTATTTCTAGCTTGGCAAAAATAGGAGACATTAATGCGTGCAATGTTGAATCGTCTCTCAGGGAGCGGACGTTGCGCATCCGGGACATGTCACTTCGACAAGATACTTTGAACACTTTTCTTCCCTTCCCTATACAATGCGGAAAGGTTGGCGATCTGCGCGTAAAAATTCCATGGCCAGCCTCTAATGAGCCGCTGCTTTTGTGTTGTGAGGGAATGGCCTTTACATTGAATGGCGAGACTTCTCAATCTTGCACAAAAGAGATGACGAGGGAGGAGATACGGGTTGGTATTACAGAAGAAAGTATTCTCGGAACCGTAGTGAGGCCTTCTGTGCCTGTCAATTCTCATGAAGAGCAGAGAAGTGCTGCACCGTTGGCGTCTGAGGAAAACGCTGAGGAGCGTGAAACATCATGGTCGGCGGCATTGGAGGATGATGATTACATGTCGTGTCAGAGTGTCAGTAACACTTCATTTGCGTCTTGCGATTCTCAAGAGGATTTGGCATCCCTTCCACAGAATGGAAAAGGTTTTTTTTCGTTTCTTGTCAATGCCGCCAGTCGTTCTGTGTCGTGGGTCATGAATCGACCCATTCACGTGCAGTTGAAGAACCCCTGTGTTGTGTGGCCGTGCGATTCACACTCTGACGTGGGCTTTGAGATTACAGTGAGCGAGATCATGGTGAAAATTGAGCCTACATTAGAGGCCGGTGCTGAGCTTATGAAGGTTATCGTTATCACCTTCAGTGGGGTTGCCGTGTGTGCAAATGCTGCTAAGGAGCAAACGCAAAAGATTGTGGAAATTGATCATCTCAGTATACGCATTACCTCCGTGTACAGTTCTGCGGGTATTCTCTGTCGCAAGAACGTTGCTATTGTTTTTGACGGCGTATCCTCGTTGTTTTTTGATGAGGATGCATTGCGGTCTCTCACAAGGTGCGCCGTGAGCCATGGGATCATGAAAGAGGTTCCCGAGTATTGCCGTCCGTTTTATAAGCTGCGTTCATTGAGTTCACGTTGGTCCTACGCCAAAAGTTGTGTCTTCGCTTTTATACGGGACAGGAGGAGGCGTTACAACTTTAATTCGTCGCACCTTCACTTCTACGCCGAAGCCCGCACGTCTTATCTTGCGCTCTTGGATTACTGCCATCGCACACGGGACATTGCGGAAAAGAGGGAGCAAATGGCCGATATTGAGGGTGATATTCGCCATCGTGATGTGGTGTTATTTTTGAGGCGCAAGGTTCAAGAGAGATACTCCACGACGGTACTTGCTGGCAGCACAGGGGCGGGTGTGACACCGCCGCCGACGCAGCCTTCAGATGCTCGTGAATTTGTTATTGTCTCGTCTCTTCACGTGGACGCAAAAATTACGTGCGTGCGGTTGCCTGCTGAAACAACGGTGTGGCTGCGTGATGTCGCGTTTGTGAAGCGCCACGGGGAGTTCAATTTTTCGGTTGGGAATGTCACGTTGGTTGCGGGGGGAAAGTCTCAGCTGCTACGGGCGCTGGATTCCGGGGAACCTTTTTTTTCCTTTCAGCAAACCGAAAGCAATGACATGACTTTTGTTAGGACGACGTTAGAAGCGTTGCGTTTTATCACCACATCTAATTGGATGCTGCAATTGGTTCAACCCATCATGGTCGCTATGCCACACGTTCTGCGGGCGATTCCAGAAACAAATTGCAATGAACCGGAGACAAACTTGAGTAATCGATGTGAAAAAACCACAAGTTTTGTTTTCCCATTGATAGATTTTCATGTGGATGATTTGCGGTTGCAGTTGAAGCAACTATCCCTGACGCATATAGAGCGAACATCCGGTGACTCACGTGTGGGTCTTTTGATGAAGGAATTGTCTGTGCGTTTTGGCGAGGAAACGGACGTGCTATCACCCATGAAGGTGGAAATGACTGAAGAGGAGGATATCTTGGTGTCTGCGGTGACGTTAAATGTACCGAATACGCTATGGGAGTATTTGTACCACGT